CTTGAGCCCAGGAGTTGGAGGTTGCTGTGAGCAGTGAAGCCATGGCACTCTACCCGGGGGCTCAGCGTGAGGCTCTGTCTCAAAAAAACAAAACAAAACAAAACAAAAAAACTAAAAGCAATCTATCAATCATACTTCCATCTTGACTCTAAGTATGTAAACACAATAAAGCCTTGTATTTTTTTTTATCTGCATAAGACAGGTTTATTTGGTAACATATTCTCATTTAATTCAAGGAAATGCACTTTTGTCCCAGTGATACAGGATTTGCCCACTCAGAGCTGGATGGGGACCCCACCCCATTCCCTAGGCCTGGGTGAACTCGGAAATCAGACCCCCATCTCTAAGCACAAACAGGCTGCCCTTTCCAGGCTATACCCTCTCAGCTCAACCAAGGTCATGAACAAAGCAGCCTGAAACATTTTGGGTGGTTCTACCTTGAGTAGGGAGCACACACCCCAATCACCTTCCCTGAGACAAAAACTGCAAAGCCCCAATAACCTTGCCCCAGAGGAGGGACAGCATTAATTCGTTAACACACTCATTAACTTTGAAACATCCTGGCCAAAATGTAATATATACCCCATGGGACAAAGAATCCAAGTGGGAGACTTCCTGGCCAAAATGTAATATATAGCTCATGGGACAAAGGACCCATGTGGGAGACTTCCGACTTGGGTATTCCCCTTTGCCAGAAGCTTTGATGCTTTTTTACTCTTTCTGTATTCTCTTCTGCCTAATAAAATCCTATCTTACCACTGATCTGTGGTCTGTGGGTTCATTCTTTGAATCCCCGAAACCAAGGACCTACTGAAGAAAGAAATTCTGGTAACACCAGCATAGTTTCTGGGAGAAGACTGAGAAAGGAGATAGTGAATGATATAACTACTTAATGTATGAACATTGGCTAAAATTAGCAGTGTTTGTGGAAGGTAGAGCCTTACCTGACCAATACAGGAAGAGATGGGGACCAATTTCTTGAAGAAGAAGATAGGAAGATTTAGGACAAGAAACGTAAATGTTGAAATATTTTTAAAAAGTAAAAGAAAAGAGACTTTCAGAAAGGAGAGAGGAACCATCACCTCACCTGAGCCATGATTTTGAGATCTGCAAGAGATGGGCAGTCTTTCCTTTGTACTCCTCTTTAGAAAAGGGGCAGTTCCTAAAAAGGCAAAGCCAAGATACAAAAAGTCACATGAGGCCACACACAGCTACTGCTCTCTTACAACTTATAACTCAATTAAAACCGCCTCCATTTCCCTTGTTATAGGTCCTAGACCACTCTGCACCTTCCTCATAAATATAGAGGGGAGAACAGGCCAGACAAATCCTATCTTATCCCCAAAGTCAGAGATACAGGCCCCTGGGGCAGCAGGATGGATTTTCCACAAGTTTTTCACCCCTCAAGCACTGCCTTTTCTATCCTAAGCAGCCTACTATTATTAACTATTTCCAAGCTTCTCTCCATCAAGTCTATGCCCTTTTTTTTCAGTACATTTTTTAATTATTATTTTTTATTAAATCATAACTTTGTACATTGATGTATTTATGGGGTTCAGGGTACTGCTTCGATGTACAATGTGAAATGCTTACACTGAACTAAGTAACACATTCATCACAATTATACTCATTTCTTAACAATTTTGAAATGTACCACTGCATCATGCACATTAGGTGAAGTCCCCCCAAATGCTCGCCTTCCTCTCATATCCCCCCTTCCCTCCCCTCTCTCTCCTCTTTGGTGATAATATATTGATTTCATAGTAGTATTGAGTACATTGGATACTTTTTTTTCCATTCTTGAGATAAGTCTCTACTATTTACACCAGTTCACCAGCAATACATGAGAATACCTATTACTCCACACCTTGAGAAATGCTACTGATTCAAACTTTTTATGCTGGCCTAATAGGTATAACTGTGGTTCTAGTTTTTAGTTTCTTCTTCTTCTTTTTTTTTTTGTAGAGACAGAGTCTCACTTTGTCCCCATTGGTAGAGAGTGCTATGGCATTACACAGCTCTCAGCAACCTCCAACTCTGGGGCTTAGGCAATTCTCTTGCCTCAGCCTCCCAAGCAGCTGGGATTACAGGCACCCACCACAATGCCCGGCTATATATTTTTTGTTGTTGTTACAGTTTGGCCAGGGCTGGGTTTGAACCCACCACCCTCGGTAGCCCTACTGACTGAGCTACAGGTGCTGCCCAATTTTTAGTTTTCTTATTATAAAAGACGATTAGCCTCTTTCATGAATTTAAAAAACATTTTTAGTTTCTTATCTATGTATGATGGTCTTTTTAAATTTATTTCATTTTTCTATTACTTTATTTTTAGCTTTTTAATTGGTAATATACTTTTTTAAAGGAAGAAAATTAATCCTTTACCTGTGGTATGAGTTGTAAACAATTTTTTTGTAGTTTCTTATTTGACTGTGGTTTTTCCAGGCAAAAATAAAATTTAAAAAATTATTTGGCCAGGCGGCGCCTATGGCTCAAAGGAGTAGGGCGCCGGCCCCATATGCCAGAGGCGGTGGGTTCAAACCCAGACCTGGCCAAAAATTGGAAAAAAAAAAATTATTTGGCTATCTAGTTTAGGACCACAAGGATTCAACAATCTCTATTTCCTCCACTCAGCAAAGCTACCACCTCTATCACATATTTTATTACCTTATATATGTGAGTAGATCTTGGCTTTATGTTTTGTTTTTGTTTTTTTTTTGAGATAGAGCCTCAAGCTATCCCTCTGGGTAGAGTGCCATGGCATCACAGCTCACAGCAACCTCCAAATCCTGGGCTTAAGCAAGTCTCCTGCCTCAGCCTCCCAAGTAGCTGGGACCACAGGCACCCGCCTCAACGCCAGGCTATTTTTTGGTTGCAGCCGTCATTGTTGTTTGGCAGGCCCAGGCTGGTTTCAAACCCGCCACCTTAGGTGTATGTGGCCGGTGCCTTAGCCACTTGAGCCACAGGCGCCAAGCCAGCTTTATGTTTATTTCCACTGATATGTTCACTTAATTGCCAGGATCACCCTGCATTTATCAGAGTTTTAAAACATATTTTAGCATCTACTAGTGCTATTTCCTTCTGATTATTTTTCTCTTAGAATTGCTGGTCTCTTGGCTCGTCACCCGTAGCTCAGTGGCTAGGACACCAGCCATATACACTGGAGCTGGTGGGTTCAAATCCAGCCCAGGCCTGCCAAACAAGAATAACAACTACAACCAAATAATAGCCAGGAGTTTTAGTGGGCACCTATAGTCCCAGCTACTTGGGAGGCTGAGGTAAGAGAATTGCTTAAACCTAAGAGTTTGAGGTTGCTGTGAGCTATGATGCCACAAAACTCTACCCAGGAAGACTATCTCAAAAAAAGAAAAAAAAAAAGAATTGCTGGTCTCTTCATTTTCTCCTAATAACTTTAGAAAGTTCAAAAGATTTTTATTAACATGTTAATGGAACTGCATGAAACAGTAAGAAGTTTGGGCACTTTATCATGGTGTGCCTTCCTATTCTTTTATTCAAGTCTTAATTTTTATTTGTTTTTATTTTTTTTCAAGTCTTAATTTATAAGCATGCTTTTTAAAAACACATCATACAAATAATAGTTTTCTAATACCCACATGTGCACACGCAAAGCTTATTGACTTAATGATTTTTCTAGCAATCTTCTGAATTTTTTCTTTTTTTCTTTTTTTGAGACAGAGCCTCAAGCTGTCCCCCTGGGTAGAGTCCAGTGGCATCACAGCTCACAGTAACCTCCAACTCCTGGGCTCAAGTAAGTCTCCTTCCTGCCTCCGCCTCCCAAGTAGCTGGGACCACAGGTGCCCACCACAACGCCTGGCTATTTTTTTGGTTGCAGCCTTCATTGTTGTTTGGCGGGCCCGGGCTGGATTTGAACCTGCCACCTTAGGTGTATGTGGCTGGCGCCTTAGCCACCTGAGCCACAGGCGCCGAGCCTTTTTTTTTTTTTTTGAATTTTCTAATTATTGTCATCATTCATTTTTAACAAGATGGTAGCTTAGAAATCTTTTTGCCTCAGTCTCAGCTGATAAGTACCAAAGATCATCCAAACAAAATCTCATTCTAAAATAGTATCTTATAAAGCCATTGACCATAAAGTTTTGTTATAATTAATTTAATTCCGACTCTAAATGGCCAGGGAAAGTAATGTCTCTTATGTGAGTAAATTATTTGTAGAACAATGTTTTCCAGGGGGAAAAAAAGTAGGTTCATCTTCCCCCATTATAACAACAAGGGGCCTCTCAGACCCTGATACTACTAAGAATGAAAATGAGAGAATTCTTGGCAAAAATGTAAATGTTTCCAGGGTTTGGGAGGGGAAAGTAACTGAGGTGGCTAATTCTCACCTTAGCACTAGCACCTGAGACATCATAGATGGAGGCTGCCTGTGTTGTCTTGAATCTTATCTAAAAGGACCAAGTGGACACACGAACCTACCAGAGCAGGTGGACCACTGCATGCCAAGAGGAAGCACTGAGCAGGCAGCTGGAGAAGAGGCTGTACCCATGAGAAGAGAAGTGTATCTCTGGAGGTTTCCAGCAGCAAGTTCTCTCACAAGGTAAGAGATGACTTACACTAAATCACAGCAGCAGCAGTCACGTTAGCCTGACTTCTGACATCTCATTCCTTTACCAGTGCCCAATCCATTTGAGCTGAGGACTACCCACCTACAGGGAGCAAAGAGGAGATAGAGGAATTACAGAAGAAACCAATCAGGTATACTTTCACACTGCAGGCTTCCAGTAGAAGGGAGAGTGTTTCTCATTTTTGTTGTTGTTGTTGTTTGTTTGTTTTGGAGACAGTTTTATTACGTCCCCCTTGGTAGCATGCTATGGTGTCATAGCTCACAGCAACCTCAAACTCTTGGGTTTAAGGATTCTTTTGTCTCAGCCTCCCAAGCAGCTGGGACTACAGGCGCCCACCACATGCTGGCTATTTTTAGAGACCGGTTCTCCTTCTTACTCAGGCTGGTTTCCAACCTGTGAGCTCAAGAGATCCACCCACTTCCACCTCCCAGAGTGCTGGGATTATAGGCGTGAGCCACCGCTCCTGGCCGAGTTTCTGCTTTTAAAATAAGTTTGAAGTTTGATTTCTACCATGAACACTAATGATTATTATGAGACTGATCTTGTGTTTAAGTATTCAACAGGGTTTATTATCTAAAGAATGTATGAAGAAATTATTGATCCCAGAAATTCATCAGCAAAAGAAAAAGAATTCGCCCAAATTGAAAAAAAAATTTTTTTTGAGACTGCGTCTCACTTTGTCGAGCCTCAGTAGAGTGCCATTGGGTTACAGCTCACAGCAACCTCAAACTCTTTGGCTTAAGTGATTCTCTTGCCTCAGCCTCCCAAGAAGGTGGGACTATAGGCGCCCGCCACAACACCTAGCCATTTGTTGTTGTCATTGTTGTTTAGCAGGCCTGGGCTGGGTTCCAACCAACCAGCCCCGGTGTCATGTGGCCGGTGCCCTAACCAATGAGCTATGGGTGCCGAGTCCCAAATAGAAATTTGGGGAGTGGAAGTTATGGAAGTTTTTTGTGTATGCTCGGAGTGGTATCCCACTCATTTCAACAAGTTAGCTAATAGACAATATGAGGTTTTCAAATATATGATTTTACCTCCTCCTATTTTAAAAATCTCTAATTTTACTTGTCTGATTGCTGCAGAGTCAAATTCTACAGGCATGTAAAATGGCCAATATTCAGAAACTCTAACCAATATACATCTAACTAGTCAGCACCCAATGGCACATTCACAGTCATCTTGGATTGTGCACATAAAATACTTTAAAAATTAGACATATTCATAGTTGTACCACCAACAACAGTTATAATCCCATAGGTCCCCATGTCACGCACAATATCACAATGTTCATACATCTATAAAAAGTAACAAAATTTCATTCGTAATCCCCTACTGTCGCCTCTCTAAAGTGGGGTAGTCTCAAACAAGATTGGCCTGCACCTAATTTAAAACTTGACACACGCGGAGAACCTTCCACTTTCATCAATCCTTTCCACGTCACACACTGTAACACATGCCTCCCCTCAACACCCAAGGACAGATGCAAAAAGCCACATAAACCCAGCGCCTGTTGTGTACCATGCTGCGGTGGGGAAAAAACAGACAAAATTCCTGCCCTTGCTGGGCTCACACCCGCCTCGGACTCCGGGTTCCCTTTCCGGCGCTCCCCCGCCCGTGCTCCTGGTTCTTTCCTTTGCCTAGGTTCTTGCTTTTCTCCCCCACCTTCTCTGGGCCCAAACTCTCAATTTACTCTCCTAGCTTCCTCGATTTAGCTTCCCGTACCCCATCTAGGCCTTCCCAACGGGTCCCGCCATCACCCGCTTTCTTTGCATCCACAAGACTCACCAGCCTCACGTTCGGCTACTAGGGAGTCCACGCCTGCGCACTTTGTCGCGACTGTACCTCCCAGGTACCTGCGCGGCAAGTTTCTCAGGACCACCGGCTACGCGCGCGCCTTCTGGACATCCGGGCGTTTCCGGCCTTGGACTACATTTCCCATAGGCCCCGGGAAACTTTCTCCAGTCCCCCACTTTAAAGTTCTCAAGGTTGCCTGACTGTGAGTGGTGAATCAAGTCTCCGGGTGTGAAGCGCTGACACTGAGGAAGTCCTTAGCTTCCCCGGTGCATACAGGACGTGCAGAGCCTGTAACTCAGGCCTGTGTGTGCGCGTGTACGTGCGTGTGAACGTTTGTGATCTTGAAGAAGTGGGATGTATACGCAGTGATAAGGCTGTGACAGGTGCATAATTGTTGCTCGTACATACTACTCAGATGCAGGACCTTTTGGGTGACTGTGGCCGCCTGTGATGTGGGGTGTGTGACACTGGTGTTTGAGCCCACCCATCCTATGACAATTGCTGCTCTAACTTGATGCCATGTTAGAAGCTTTTAATTCTATGACATCGCCTGTGTAACAGGTAGAAAGAACTTCATTTCTCAAGTTCGGGATTTAACGTTGGATCTGAGGGGTCTGTTGAAACATCTCCCTGAGAGTATATCTGTGCCTGTGAAGACTATGGTCGAAGCTACAACTCCAGCTATTAAAAAATATACAGCTGGCTCGGCGCCTACGGCTCAAGCGGCTAAGGCGCCAGCCACATACACCTAAGGTGGCAGGTTCGAATCCCCAGCCCGG